AGTTGGGCCTGACGGACTTCATCTGTCACTTTCAGAATTCGAAACGTGCCCTTCAAAATCTCTTCAAGGCTATCGACGCTCAGTGTTTCTATTTTTCCATCGAATCGTGGGTGACTGCGGACTGCCTGCGCAAAATTCGATAGCTCTCGTCCTGCTTGTTCTGCCATGTTAAAAAAAATTTTCTTCTTAGAATAGAAGAGGTGCTACCATGTTGTTATATAAAATTATGTATTTTCCTTTTTGGAACCAGCTACGGTTTTCATTATATATCTGTGCCAAGCTTTGCTGGCTCTGATAAGTGGCATGATGTGATCAGGGTTTATACCTGGCTCTCAATCATACAACAGGATTTGAATTCTGGAAATAATAGAAATGCAGAGAGGAAATGAGTCAGCCATGGCATGGCATACAGCTACTGACCATTGGTACCAGTTTAGCAGAGAGGTGCTAGATTACACAAGAGCTATTTATGTCACTAATTTTTCAGCACCTGTTATATTTATTTCTAACTAAAAGAGAATAATGCTAATAATTGCTATATTTCTATAACCAACCTACAAGTATGCCCTCAAGCTAATAAACAAAGATAGTTAAGGAGATATTGCATTACTTTTCATTAGCTAGTAGTTTAGCACATGTAGGGCAATAGCCCTTTGAGTTTAAATCGCCAGATTCCCTTCTGCAGTTTACACACTTATATTGTAATCCCATGGTAGTTTTAGAAGAGTACTGAGTAAAAAAATATGGCCAGAAATATTTGTTTAAATACCAGAAGATACAACTGGCTCACCAATATTAATAAATATATGTTTATTAAACCAACCAAAAATTAATCAATTATAGCTCAGTTTTGGGGATAGATAAATTAAATAAAGTCTGACTCCCAAAACTTATGTAAATGTTGAGTAATTTAGAAATCCCCCAATCTGTTATACAGGACTGGGATCTGCTGCTGGGATAATTTGTATGATTGAGAGCCAGGTATAAACCCTGATCATACCATGCCACTTGTCAGAGCCAACAAAGCTTAGTATGAATCTATGGTGAAAAACATTTTTATAACAATAGCTAAGCTATTAGACTGGTATCATGAGTACCTTAGAACACAACCATTTTCACTAAACACATTTAAGGAGAGCAATATTTTTGACAGTATAATATGGGATGGGGTTCAGGCTGCTTGTAATGAGGCCATAAAGAACTAGGCACCTAGTCCTGATAATATTCCTACTGTTGGGTTTAAAGCTGACAGGCAGTATTTTAATAGATAAATAAGTATATATTTTAAATATACTTCAAAGGATGAACCAGGCAAATGGCTATTTAATGGGCTACAGGGCTCTATCATGGGTTCATTTCAGCAGCTTGACAGCAGATGGAACAATTTATTCTTTTTAAATTAGGCTTGCATTATTCCACAATATACTGGCTTCACAGCAACTATTGCCTGGGTTTGAAAGCATGTCAAACCAACAGGGGGTTCGAAGGTTTCTTTAGCTTAATTGAGTACAAACAGCGCCTTTCTGATTATAAAGCAAGCATGAGCTATTTATAATATTTTGCAAAAAACCAGTGAACAGAAATATTGCAGTTTAGACTGGTTTATTTGATCTGCTTGATCCAAGCTCCATTAGCTCAGTTGGTTTAGAGCTTCGTGCTTATAGTTGGTTGGTTCTTTCTTAATTAAAAATTAGGGAAACTAATCTCATAAAACTATGAAAGAGTCACGCGGAGGTCGCCAGTTCGATCCTGGCATGGAGCACTTTTTTTTTTTTTGCCTTTAATGAAAAGGAAAAAGTTCCTTTTGAACCCCCCACAGCTAGCGCAATATTATCGTAGTGCATGCCTTGGGCTCTCACCTTAAGCACTTTATTTTAGCGCCTCTGAAATACGAGATAATGCAAATCAGAGGTTTGAGTTGTTATGGAAAGACCAGCTGGACCCACACCATAATTCCAAGCTGGAAAACCTGGGGGGAATGATCACAAACACATTCAATTTGTCATCACCGTATTTTTCATTTCTATCAATGAATGATGGCGACGAGGAAGCAGTGCATCTGCCTGAGCTGGGATGCCTGGAGCTGCGTTGTCATCCTCAGCGAGGCAGAGGCGTTTTCACGCGCAATGCAATAGGCAGGGGAACGCTGGTGCATATATCGCCAGTGCTAATATTTGGGCATGAAGAGTACCGCGACTACGGAAAGCACACTTGCCTGGACCACTATACTTACCGCTGGCAGAAAGGGCAGTACGCGCTGGCATTGGGGCTGGGGAGCATGTTCAATCACGAGCCGCCGGGCAGCGAAAACGTTGGATTTGTGCGGGACATGGATCGGGCGCTGATAAAGTATGTTGCGCTGCGCGACATTGCTGCGGGCGAGGAGCTGTGCATATGCTACGGGTCAAACGTGTGGTTTGATGTCGTCACCGACACTGTTTCGAGCAAGCCGGCAGCTACCGAAAACCCGCCTGAAACGCCACTGGACTTTCTCTGCAGCTTTGAGCTCTAGCTCGTCATGTGGCTACTGTTCTTTTTTCTTTTTCAATTCAAGCATACACCCCTTTTGTTAATTGCTACCAAATGAGACTCGGGAACTTTGTTGATGACCCGCAGACGTCGTCCACGCCAGAGCTGCCGTCGGGCTTTATGAGCGCTCTGCTGGATTTTGACGGCCGGCCGCGCAGCTGGTCGTCGAATATGTCGCCCAAAGAGCATTCTCAGATGCCACCAGCTGCTGGCCCTGTCCCTCCCCACTTTACTCGCTCGCTTAGGTCCGCATCCATACGTTCCAGCGCCACCCGAGGCGGGCTGAGCAGCGCAGACGTGCCTCTTGACGGCCTAGCTACTCAGAGCAGACCGCAGGTAGCTACAACTCTGGCCAGTGACCCCCGCCGGATAGAAGCACGTGGACGTATACTATCGACCGACTCGCGGTCAGCCAGTGCATCAAAGCAGGCGCTGTGCATGATGAAGCCGCTGGTTGCTGCTTCAAGCACAAGTTCAGACCCGGATTCGGCAACAGTGACTCCGAGAAACTCAACGCGGACATGCAGCAAAAGCAGCAGCATTGACAATGACATATCACACACTAAACACAACACCACCAGCTCATCCCTTCCGCACGATCTGACGTCTATTCAGTTCTCAACAGCACGACCTACTACGGAAACCACCGTGGTTTCTAATGGCGACATCCAGGTTCAGCGGCCAGCAACTGCCGACCGGAACCAAAGCTCGTCACTGTGGGCAGCCATCTCACGCCTATCCCTGGGGAGCTCAGTCAATGCCAGCCAGAGCTCGCTTGACACTGGCGCAGCCACGCGCAGGTTGGCAGTTGATCACTTGAAGGAGATTGAGCGCAAGCAGCCAATTGAACACGTGGCCAATTCATTAGACCAGCAGGTGCAGCCAGATCCCGATGCCTGTGATGCCGAGTCTTCAGAGCCGGCCTGCTCGGCAATGTCTATAGAAAATGGCTCAAATGTAAAGGAGGCCAGCCAGCAGGCAAAGCCAGCAGATACTGCTTCGATTGCATCTGCTAAATCCACTAATGACGGCATCAATTCTAAAGAATCTCCACGCAGCTCGAAATGGCTGCAGTGGTGGTCTAGCAAAAGCAGCCAACCGGAAGGGCCACCACAGATTGATTCAAGCGCAGCGACCAAGGAAATATCGACAGCAGCAGCACCAAGCTCTGGCGAGCAGACGCCGGCAATGCCTACAGCTCAGCAAAATGCATCCGCTAAAAGCATGCTGCTACCCGACTTTGATGTAGGCAGCGACAAGTTTTCGGCAGATATGCTGCCAGATAGACGCTTGCCGATTAGCATGGATGCGGATTCAGTTCTTCCAGAAGTGCATCCGGCGAACAAGCATGCGCGCACTGACACAGAAAGCGATGAGTTTCCGCTGCACAAGCGGCTGAGGCTATTGGGACAGGCTGTGGTAAGCTCGGCTATCGACATGGCGCCTAGCTGGGCCCGCACAGTGCTGCAGGGGCAGCACGTAGCTGATGCACAGGGCCAAATAAGCGGGTCGGATTACACAGACACAATGCCAACAGCCGACCAGCTCACCAATTTGATGGACAGCAGTGCGAGTAGGCTGGGTAAAATTGCTATCATTGGCGTGCATGGGTGGTTTCCGATGCGGATGCTGCAGATGCTAGCGGGGGAGCCGACTGGCAAGTCAGAAAAGTTCTGCTTGATGATGCGCGACGCACTCAAAGCGTATTTAGAAGAAAGCCATAAAGTGACTATAGAGGATAGCGACATCAGCCTATTTCCGCTGATTGGAGAAGGACGGATTGAGGATCGCGTCGAGCTTTTGCTGGCGCAAATTCTAGATGCTGAAGCTGCCGAAAGCAGCCTACGCGAGCAACAGGCAGCAAAGGCAGCAGCAGTGGCAGCACCAGTAGCAGCACCGGGAAGTTCCAAAGCAGCCGCTGAGAATGATGATATCCGTAACCCGTCAGGAAAAATGTCAGAACAAGCAGCTGAGGCACTGATGCCAGAGCGCAGTCAGCGTGCACAGGTTCTGCGTGATGCAGACACAGTGTTTGTGGTGACACATTCCCAAGGCACGCCCGTATCGGCGATGATAATCGAGCGGCTTATGGAGATGGGCCTGGTTGACACGGACCGTCAGCGAGTAGCGATGCTGGCCATGGCAGGCATAAGCCACGGACCGCTGGCTCACTTGAAGGACAATGTCGTGGTGAAATACATAGAGTCTGGCACGGCACGAGAACTATTTGAGCTGATGGATCCGAGCTCGTACCAGAGCCAGCGATATGTAGCGGCATTGAGTACTATTCTGCACCGCGGTGTGAGGCTGGTATGCGTCGGGTCGTGGGTAGACGAAGCTGTCCCGCTCTACTCTGCGATTTTGCAGGGCGTGTCACATCCCAACGTGTACCGCGCAGTGTACATCGATGCACCGCACTACAGCGATGACTTTTTGACTGGGCTGATTGTGTTTGCAGTGCGGCTGCGCAACATGGGCATTTACGACCACGATCTGCTTATTCATCTGAGCGAGGTGGTGGCTGGGTCGCTGTGGGGACACTGGGGCCATTCGACAGTGTATGGCGAGCCCGCCGTGTATAAGCTAGCGGTAAAATGGCTGCTGTACTCTACATCGGCCACGTCGTGTGCCTCAGCTTCCGAGTCTGTGCCGGCAGATGCACGCCATGCGCGCGGAAATGGAGCCAGCGGACCGCAGATCCACATGTCTTATCGCCCATTCAATGCCACAGAGCCACTAAATCCGTTTTATATTCCCTGGATCATGCGTACGCTGTGGGACGAGCCCGAGATTCAGAACAACCGCGGTCTGCGCAACGAGCTGCGGCGGCTGGTCGCGCTGTTCGACAAGTGGGCACCCGAGACGAAACCAGGAAAGGAGCTGCGGTACCGTCTAGAACCCGTGCGTGCAGCGCTATAGAGCCACAATCTGTATTTATATAAAAAAGACTTTATGTATTAGCGAGCAGCTTTACGCTCAGACGCCTTGTAGTCAATAAATGCGCGCAGGTTCTGCACCGCCAGATCACAGCGGTCACGCAGGCTACGGTGCTTGCGACGGTCCACAGTCTTGGCCAGCTTACGCACCGGGATGTACAGCTGCCGCAGCCGGGCCAGCATGTTCTCCCGCACAAACACGGGCTCGTCATAGTCAAACTCCATATCGCCATAAATATCAAACAGCAGATCCAGCGCCTCCACTATTGGCTCCACAGCAACCCGCACAGATGCCGTGCTGGACTGTGTCAGCGCCTGCAGCGGCGTAGCAATTGCCTGGTCAAGCAAAAAGCAGCCAATGCGGCGGTTAGCTTCTATATGCCCAGGATGGCGACGAGCAATATTTCCCAGCGCGCCCACAGCCTTTACTCGCAACGCCGAAGACGGTGCCTGGATGTAGACGTGGATCAGGCCCTCGATCTGCTCTGGTGTGACGGGCACAGAGCCTTCCACACACCGTGCCAGTGTCCACATGCAGCCAATGGTCGGGTCGAGCACCGCAAAGCGCAGCTGCTGGTCGGTGTTAGCCAAGTCCGCAGATGGCGAATCGGCTGCCAAAAGACGCTCAGCTACCGCCACCAAGCAGGCCCACCACTGTGCCACGTTATCGCTGTGCATGCGGAACCATGGGCGCAACGACTCCTCAATAACAAGCAAAAAGTTGTTGAAGCAGCCCAGAGCGCGCTCATTTAGCGCTGCAAAGTCTTCTGCCACCAGCACCATGCGCGAAGCTACATTGGGAACGCAACCGGCAGTTGCAGATGCCAGAAATGTTGCTGTTGTAGGCTCTGCCAGACGAAGCAGATGCGGAACAATGGTCTCAATAAACATTCCCAGAATTGACTGCTGCACTGCGTCCTCGGCCTCACGCTTGGCAGCCGCCTCGTCGCCAAGCACGTCATTCATATCGGCCTCGTCGAAGTCGGCAGGCGGGCTATGCACACTGGCATCATCCGCCATGTCCTCGTCCTCTTCGTCCTTTTCATCCTCTTCATCATCGCTAGCACTTTCTTGTGCTCCAGCTTCAACCTCAACCTCTGCATCTGCATCATTTGTACCCTCATCAGTAAATATGTTGGCTGCCAATTCCAGCGCCAGCTGGACATAATCTATCCGATACCGCAGCCGATCCAGCTCAGCCTCCTGCCGAGATGGCTCAGGAGAAGCGATTACTGGGGCTTCCGGTACAGTCTTGGCCAGCTGCAGAGCCTGTGAAGCAGCTTCGTGCGGATCGAAC